ACAGCCGAGGCAGAAGGCCAAGACTCCGTAGCCAGCGGCTGGCTGCCTGCCTGCCTGCCTGCCTGGCTGGCTGCCTGGCTGCCTGGCTGGGTCAAGGGGGAGGTCCCCGTTCCAGCGCGTTCTCCATGTGCAGCCCTCCCCTTCCGCCTCCAGCCTCGCCGAGCCTCGCTTTGCCCGCGGCCATCGGTCCGAGTTTGGTCCTCGCTAAAGGCTCGGCAGCATGCTCCCCGAAATAAAGGCGAGGGGGGAAGGGGGAGGCCTTCGGGGGTCGGGGCAGGTCGTCACAGTCGACACAGCCGAGCCCCGTGGCGCGCCGCGGTGCCGCACGGTGCCCTGCGGTGCGGTGGCCTACCTGTTGCTTTGTGTGAGCCAGCGTCTGCCGACCTCCGGGCCCTCGGGCTCCACCGCGCGCGGAGTCATTCCGTCGCGGGGTGCGTCTGTGTGCGTGCGTCGCGCGTCCGTGTGTGTGAGAGAGAGATTGAAGAAAGCTACTCAGCGAAATCAGCCCAGAAGATGCGTCTTCTTTTCGCCGGCGAAGTTTTGCGCGCATTTCCTTCGAGTAGTGGTGTTTGCTGCGGACAAATAATTACCCCGAGCACACGGCCGAGTGCGTCGAGGTTGGGAGGTGCAGGTGTGTGTGTGTGTGTGTGTGTGTGTGTGTGTGTGTGTGTGAGTGTGAGTGAGGAAGGGAGGTGTGTGACAACAAAACCGGTATGGTGGGGCCGGTGTCCGGGGTCGCCGTCAGGCCTGGCGCGCGTGTATGTGTGTGTGTGTGTGTGGGGGGGGGGGGGGGCAGGAGTGGCTTGCTAGCCCCACGACGACGCGCTCATTACACTCTACAAAAAATGTCCTGTCAACGCCGTTAATTTATTACCAATGTTTGCTGTTATGCAATTCACGGCGTTTGCTGTGAACTAGTTCACGGCGTTCACTGTGATCTCGGTTACAGTGTTCACTGTGATCTGGCCACAGTAAACGCCGTGAATTGGAGCCTGATTTGCAGTACTTCTGTGCTTAGCGGCGTCACACTCACAGTGTTTACTGGGGACCAGATCTCAGTGAACACCGCGAACAAGATCACAGTGAATCCCGTGAGCAGATCACAGTAAACGCTGTGAATTGACCTACAGTGAAAACTGGTAATAAATTAACGGCATTTACAGGACATTTTTGGTAGAGTGTAGGGGTGCCTTCAACCGTCTGCTGACGTGCGGTGAAGAGGGGAGGGGGAGTCAGGCAGGTGTACTCGGCGGATGCAGCGGTAACCGAATGGGCTCGTGAACGACGAGGAGTGTGTGAGTGTGAGTGTGTGAGTGAATGTATGTGTGCGCGCGTCTACTGCTGACGCACACGCTGCCAAAATGTGAAGAGGTCGCTAGTCTGCCTCCACGGGTTGACCTCATTATGTGCAGCGTTCTTGGTCTGGCCTGCAAGACTAGATATGGTTCTCACTCTCTCTCTCTCTCTTCCTCCATCTCTCTCTTCTCTCTCTCTTCCCTGAGTGTGTGTGTGCGCCCAGCGTCCATGCGTGTTTCCAGACAGAAGGGCAGAAGGGTGGCGGGAAACTCCGGCGAAACAGAAGGGAGATGAGCCAATGACGAATATCGGAGCGAGAGGCGGAGGGATGCGAGCCCCGGGCGAAATGGTGCGGGAAAATAATCAAAGAGGAAAGGAAAACGAGAAAATAAACAACAACTAAACCGTTCGTATAAAGGAAAGACCGCTCGCCCTCTGCCGCCCATTGTCGCGGGCGTCGCAGGTGAGCGAAAATGATAACGAATCATTGGTGTGCGGCGCGGCGTGCTCTCCGAGGGGATTTTTGTTTTTATTTTAAAATAAAACGAGCTGTCATTGTGTGGCACGGTCTCTCCGATTTCCGCGAGAAAAAAGCGGTAGCTACGTCCCGAACGCTCGTTCCTCTGCGAAGATAAAGCGCAGGTGTTTACAAAGCTACCTCTGGGGTGGAATACGTTGCGGAGGGAATTCTACCAAAGATCCATGATAATTAAAAAAAAAATCTTCGTGGATCCACGACAATTCGCCATAGTAAATCAACGAGTATTCTTTGTAAATTCGCTTAGAATCATAGTAAATGCACAAGAGTTCTTACAGCAACCTTTTTTTTCCGGAGGTGTGCCGTCGTAAATTTCCGATTTATTTGGTACAGTGTAGTGGCGCGTGCTGCGCATCACTCTCGCAAGTTTGCGCCCTTTCGCCGCGGGCCGCCGCGGGCCGCTCCGGGCCCGCTCCGCTTGCTCGGCGGTGGCGGTGTGGAGCTTGCTAATGAAAAGCAAAAGCCCCGTCTTGTCTTTGAGGGGCGTGAGTCTGCCGGCCGCTGCGGCGTTCCGTGCGGCGGGCCTTCGTACCGCTTCCCGCCAAAAGTGGATATTTGAATGGCGAGGGCGCGCCAAGCGCTCTGAATATTTCATGAAGTTTCGTTCGGCGACACCGAAGGCACCGGCCAGGGACACGCGGCGACACAAACTGACTGAAACGCGCGGCGCGGTCTGTCGCGGACTGTCGCGGACTGTCGCGCCTCGCAACCAACCGCGGAGTGTTAAAATAAGGGGCCGTCCTTTGCATACAAATCGCTGCATAACTCCTTTTTTCTTCACAATTTTCCTCGCCTTTTTCGGCGTTGGCGCGACTCGGTGAGAGAAATTCGACCTTTTTGCCTCCCCGCCGTGCTGACGCGGCTGACGCAGCCGGCTCGCGTGTGGCCCCGAAGCTCTGCCAAGCTCAGGCGCCAGCGCCGCCCGCCGTCTCGGCGCGCCAGCGCTGCCACTCAGCCCTGCTTTCTTGCTTTGCCTTTTTCTAAAGATGGGGCGCGTTCCCTCATCGACAGCGCGTCGCCGGCAGCGTCATCCAGCACGCTTCGGGGAGCATCTCTCTCGAGGGGGTATGCGCTCTCTGAACCTGTGTACCGACTATTACGCTATTACGCTCTATTACGCCACAAATTAATCGGAATATAGCTAAAAATGGCCTAAAACACACCAAAATTGATAAAAATTTGACAATTTCTATGACAATCACTATTACGCGTATTATTACGCGTGCTATTACAGATAGAGTGTATCGACTATTACGCGAGTGCATACCCCCTCGATCTCTCTCTCTCTCTCTCTCTCTCTCTCTCTCTCTCTCTCTCTCTCTCTCTCTCTCTCTCCCGTCTCTCCCCATCCCCCTTCCACGCCGATGCGTGCTGCTGGACGTCTGCCTGCTTTCTGCGGGCGGCATCAAACCGGCCCGAGCGGCTCAAATTAAACTCCATTTATCAAATTACTCTAACGGCCCGCGTTGCGCTGCGTCGCTGTGTTGCGAGGGTCGGCGGCGCGGAAGGGGCAAGACTCGGCAAGACGGACGAGCGAGGGGAGAGCGAGGCAAGAGAGGAGGCAAGGCTCTGCCGCCGCGCCAACAGACACAAATCAGAGCCATATTTCAAGCTCTCGGCAATCCGCTGCCGTGCCGCCGCGCGCTGCGCGCCGCCCTGAGGCCGCACTGCATACCACCTGACCGGCCCCCTGTGGGGCCACGCAACGTCGTACACTGCCGCGTACTCGGCAGCATCCGACGAGGCTCCAATCACTCATGTACGCTTGTGTGCACATTTCCCTGGACTTTTTCCTGGAGAAAAGTTCGCCCTATGTACCGTTCTTTTTTTGCCGTGTACTGCTTCCCCGTCGGTCGTCGGGACTCGAGTCGCGGATCCCCGGGAGGTGGGACTAGGGCTGCGCCTGGCTGCGCGCGACGGCTCTGAGAGCTGGCGGGGCGGGGCGTCGTGCGCGACCCCCCGACGTGAGCCGTCACGTCGTAAATACGGCTGCAACACTGCCAGGCCGCCAGGCAGGCCGCGAGGCGGCAGCACGGCGCTCGGCCGTCCTCGCCTTGTATCTTTTATTTACAGCGCAGGAGCGCCGCGCCGCGGCTCGGGATGCTTCCATATCCGAGTTTGGGTCGCTGAAGCTCCACCAAGCTCGGCGCGGCCGCGTTGGAAGCGCCGCCCGTCGGCGCCTCGCGTCGCACAGTGGGCCAGAAGGCCGGCGGGGGCGGTCAAAACCCAGGACGCGTTTCGAGCTCCAGAGTCCAGAGTCGCTTAGTGGGACTCCAACCCAACGTGTTACCCCACCATTGGATTGCTCTCCGAACGAGGAATCCATTGGTGCGGTCACACGCTCGGTTCGAGTGCTCTTTCGCGACTCTGGAGCTGGAAACGCGTCTGGAGGTTTGGCCCCGCTGTGCGTCCCCAGCCCGGAGTTGCGTTTCTGTTTCAAAGTCGCTCGGCATGTCCGTTGCCATCCCACTGCTGCTGCTTTTTCCAGTGAACTTCCACATGCGAAGCTACAACAACTTTTTCCGAGGACTTGGCTCTGTGGGCAGGCCGTCGGCGGCCGGGGCCCTGCCAGGCCCGAGGGCAGGGAGCTACATCAAGGCGGAGGGGCTGTTGAATGTCTCGCTTGGCTGGCCGGGAGATATTCCGAGGGGTGGGGGTGAAAAAGCAGCTCGGGAGGGGGAACAGCGGCGTGGCCCGTTTGTACACAGATTAAGGTCAAGAGCGACTTGGGCAATTGCTGGCATTCCACGCCATCATCATGCAGCCTATGCCATAACGGCGAGCTTGGGCTTCTCGAGGAGCGGGGCGGAGGCGCGCCGAGTTTGGCTGAGCTTGGCGCGCTCGGCGGCGATTTGGCGCGTGGCTCCCCTATCGCCTCGTGGCCGCATGCCTGCGCGCGCCACGCCCCACGCCACGCCGCACGCCCCAAAGTTATAACCCCAAATTACATCCTCCGCTTCGCCCAGATCGAGATTCGCCGGGATTTTATTAGCCGATTATTAAGTTACGGCAGGAGGAAGAAACGAAACAGGATTTTCCGTGACTCCCTGAGCAAGCGAGCACGAAGTCTTCCGATTACGGTTTAGGCGCAACATGCGGTGGAGATACGTTTAATTAATTGGTCTTCTTGTAGCAGGCTGAAACTCGAATTAGTGTGTGGACTGACCTGTAAAGGACCCCCCCTTGGGGGGGTGTCGGTTGGGTTCTGGGCCCAAGTGGCCCTCAAGGGCCTCCGAAGGGTTCCCCTGACGCAGCAGACGCAGAAAACTCTGAAAAAGAAACAAAACAGGACGACCGCATGTTAAAACACATGATTTGCAGGCACATTTGCATAAAGGAATGACTGTTTTCTGATTTATCTTCTATTGTTGCACTTTCCATTTCAAGAGGGGCATATATTTTTTGTTCGCAAAGCTTTATCTGCCCCATGAAAGTTTAGTGAACGGTTTTCTTCGGTTTTACTTTTATTGGTGAAATAGTGCGTAAACCAGTCATGGTGGGTGGCTGCTTCTTTTGCAACTGGCCGATCTAGCTTTGTTTCCCGTTGGCATGGATTACGTTGCCGGCTCCCTCCCTACCCCTCTCTGTTTGCCCAGCCTGTTGCCGTACAGTATACTGCGGTAAATTGACTCGGCCGTTCCGCGCCAACTGCGTGAACACTCGAGGAGGGAAAGGACAGTGGAAGAAAAACTGCCATTATGCAATGAAATTGACGCTGATCTTTTTGTGAAGGCCGATGCGTCTCTCTGTTATTGACTTGCGAGCACACGAAATGCCTACGTACCGAATTGATCGCCAAAAACTATACGTGTGTGTGCGGATATTAGCTGTTTACACTGATTTTTTAAAAATTAAGGACAATATTTACATCTTGTGCTTAAGTATTTTTAAATTTGTACATACCTTCCACCTGCACTAATACGTCGAAAGTTCAAAAGTTTAGTGGGATGGCAGAGAAGCCTCCGCAAACTCCCTATTCACTCTACCAAAAATGTCCTGTAAATGCCGTTAATTTATTACCAGTTTTCACTGTAGGTCAATTCACAGCGTTTACTGTGATCTGCTCACGGGATTCACTGTGATTTTGTTCACGGTGTTCACTGTGATCTGGTCCCCAGTAAACACTGTGAGGTTGACGCCGCTGAGCACCGAAGTACTGCAAATCAGGCTCCAATTCACGGCGTTTACTGTGGCCAGATCACAGTGAACACTGTAACTGAGATCACAGTGAACGCCGTGAACTAGTTCACAGCAAACGCCGTGAATTGCATAACAGCAAACATTGGTAATAAATTAACGGCGTTGACAGGACATTTTTTGTAGAGTGTTCGTTGCCCGCCCCGGCCCTGGGTGACGGAAGTAATAGTGTGATCCCAGTGATGTGATCCCCTAGTCGCGTCGGGGGTGTAAACAGGATCGGTGACGGCCGAGGTGGAACGCGTTCAACCGGGTCCCTTTTCCCTACGCTCGCACCGCCCCGCACCGACATAGCGGAGTAGAGAAAAAAAAAAGAATCGGAAGGGAAAACAGGAGACAATTGATTTTCCTGGCTTGCCTCTTCCTCCGCCGTGACGCGCACATATGTTACCCCCTCTCCTCCGCGCTCAATCTTCCATTCCCCGGATGCGAACGAGGCCTTTTGTGTCAAGGAGCGAGGGGCGAGCTCCGGGGCGCAGGGCCTGACGCGCAGGGCCTGAGGCGCGCGCGGCCTGCAGCCTGGATGAAAGGAGGCCGTGGCCGCGCGGCCGTGTTTGCCTCGGCTGATGGGATTCCAATTGTCGGCGCGATGCTCACACATGTCGCCGACGGGAGGCCGGCGGAACGAGCAAAGCTGGGTGGGGCCCTTTTTCTGCCCAGCATGTACACCACGCAAAAAAAAATCGAGAAAAACATTAACAAGAAAACCATAAAACGGCTGCGGTGTTTAATATAAAATACAGGCGTGCGTGCGTGTGTGTGTGTGTGCGAGTGTGAAGGGTGTACGCACGGGCAGGCTGTGCGAGGCACGCGTCCTGTAAAAGGGCGGCAGGCGTCCCTGCAGTGCAGGTCCAGGGCGTCCAGGGAGGCGTGCAAAGGGTGCGGCGACCCTTGAGTAATTGGATCACACGCGCTGAGCCCCGCTTGGGGCCGAACCGGCAGGCTGATGCTGGACAGTCTCTCTCTCGCACCCCCGTGAGACGCGCCATTAGTTCGAGGGAGACAGACAGGACTCTTCGGATGGAGCGTGCAGACGGGTTGCGTTAACCCACTGCCGATGCCACGAGAGCCAGACCCGGTGCAGTGCGGATGCAGCCCTGCCGTGGGAGGTCGAGTGGGGAAAGCGGCCTTGATGATTTGGCCTGCTGCGTCGCACCCTCGGGGCCTCACCGCGTACCGAACCCAAGGCCCCAAGTCCCAAGGCCGAACCCCAAGGCCGAACCTAAGGCTGAGCCCCAAGGTCGAACCCGAGGCCAAGCCCCAAGGTCGAACACACGGCCCAACCCTAAGTCCGTAGCCCAAAGCCGAGCTGAACGCCCGTCCGTGGCAGGTGCACTGGCACGTACTCGATACACGCCCGGTGCGACACCGGGGAGTGGGGCCTATAAAGCCGATCCGGCATCGGAAAGAAGATTCCCATCTTAATCGAGCGCGCGTCCCTCCTAAATATATATACAGTCCGTGCCAGGCGGGGCTCGGCGGGGCCGCGCTGGCCGGGCAAGCCGGGCCGCGCTCGGGGGCAGACTAAGGGTCGCCTTTTATCGACAGGGCAGGTGGGTCGCTCGGGGACCAGGCAGCCCAGCCAGCCAAGCCAGCGCTGGCGAGGTAAGGCCTTCGTAAAGTCTCCGATTGGCAGTTTGCCGGCGATAATCACACTCGCTCGGGCCTGATGGGAAAGCATGCTCAGTTAAAATCATTGTGAAGTCTTCAAGAAGAGTTTCGGTTTTGCCCCTCAAAAGTTCTTGTCTCCTTTATTCCTACCACAAAAATCTGAAGCGCTTTGGACGCTCAATATTCCTTATGATTCAATATTTTACCGTAGTAGAAAATCATTTTGAGACTGATTCCGTGCCGAGTCCTTGCCACAGCCCCATCTGACCTTGCCACGTTTGTCACTGGCTTTCGAACAGTTTCGGCAGCGTGAAAGGGCTAGCTTGCGCCGCCGGCCCTTCGATGCCAGCAGAACACATGACAGCACCCGAAAGCAAGGCGAAGCAAGGGCCACGCGCAAGGGCTCGAGGGGCGACGGGGCCCTTTGCTATTGTCAGCGCGCTCAAACGACCACCATCAGTCCGGACTGTCTGGGCCCGTCTGGGGCGCGCAGAAGTGCCAATGCCGTCAATGGCTGGCCGAGGGCTGGCCGAGGGCTGGCCGAAGGGCTGGCCACGTCGAGGGCCTGTCGTACGCCCTTCACGGCCAACATGGCGCTCCGGCCCGGGGCTGGCCCTTTCGACCGCAGCAGCCGCATTGAAGGCGCAGGTGACACGCCGCCATGCCGTTCCGACGGAAAATGGAATACTCTGGAAACTGAAGAGTGCACGCCTCCCTCTTGGATTCTAACACCTTACCTACTCAAATGGCAAGCTTTAAAAGAAGAGTGTCCATGACAAGTGCACTCTAATTTGCGGCCATCCTTCCCATACTATGACACGGGTTGGGTGTACTTTCCATGTACACTCATTTTTACAGCATGCCTGTCAAGCAGACGAAAATAAGCGTCGTCCTCCAAGTTGCTTCTTAATAAAAGTCAACCATGCATAAAGTTCCGGGAGGAGGAACAGTTTTGAGAACACCAGCGGTGGAAGACAAATAGCTGGCCTCTGAAAAGTTGCATTTTCGCTCGGTATTTTTTATTGTTTAAATCAGGGCGATTATTTTGCGAGAGCCCGGCTGAACCTCGGCCCTCGGCGCCGGCCGCCCTTGGCCGCCTTTGAGGGATACAAATCGGCTGGGTCCGGCGGACGCGGCCTCTCGGGATGGAGATCTGGCAGAAAGGCTTTTCGACAAGCGCAGGGCGGCGCAGGGCGGCCGACGTTCGCGAGGGGCAGCCTAGGCCTCGGCCTGGCAGGACTCTGACCTTCGCAAATCGGTGGGCGTAAATCCCGCTGTAATTCGTGCGGCCTTTTGCAGAGCAGCATAAAGCCACGCGTCTTCAGAAAGCAATAAATCTTGGCCGCGCCCCGCCACGCCGCTGCCAGGCCCTTAAATACACGCCTCCGGGCTGATGATGTCGAAGCAGTGACACGAACCGTTCATAAAGTCATGGGCAACTTTCGGGGGCAGATGATTTGCACAGCGAGCAATAACGCTGCATCGACCAAAAAAATGATCTAACGTGAAATTAATTTTCTAGGTTCGGTGGCACACGTCAAAAATTTTAAAGTTGCCCTTACGACGTCTTGCTAAAGCAAACACTGGATTCTTTTGCTGCTCCCGGGGCGTGGCAGTCCTATCGCCTGCGCCGCTTGCTGCCTTCGGCGACCAGCCCTTGAACAGTTTTGCATTTGCAGTTTATGCCCCGTATAAACAGCCCCTGCAGCGCGGCGACATCGGAAATGCTGCTCACCGAGGCGGCAGGCTTTAAAAACTGGGGGTCGGGGCCGCGAGGCGACTGCAGTTCTGTCGCGCTTCGCGCGTCGTCGACACTCAAGAACACCACACGCAAAAAAAAATTTGTTCTTGTTCATTGAAAATAAAACATGAGAGCAACTAGTAAATGTTCTCCAAAAATAAGAACACGAGGAACATTCACTTGCCCGCTGTGCCATTTCACGAACCACTGCTCCCTTTCACGGAGCAAGAAGGAAGTTTCCTGGGTGCACGTAATGCGGTCCTTGGTTGTGTGTCCGTTCTTTGCTCGGCGGAGGAGAGTACTGTGCCGAATCGGAAGAAAGGGAGGAGGATCCTTATTTCGTTGCGACCGCTCACGCGAGTGTAGTTGTTCGGGGCAGAGCAGACGGCAGGCTCGCCGAGTAGTGCGTGGTGGGGGCTGTGCCCTGCGTCATGGCCGCCGGGTTTTAATAAAACGCGCCCAGAAATCAGTTGAACCGGCGCTTCAAATAAATCTGGCGGCGGCGAGTGTGGGCGTTGTGGCCGCAGAAAATTGGCACCGCCGATTTATGCCTCGGAGAAATGAGGGGCAGTGGACTGGCGGCTGGGACACGACTGGCATGATGGCGGTAGGGCCTCGCCCCAGCCTGGCTGTCTGTCTGGCTGCCTGCCTGTCTGTCTCTGGCTGCCGGCCGCCCGGCCTGGACGCCTGTCTACCGACCGCCCACGCACCCAGAGCCAA